TATGATTAGCCAAAATTCTGCTTTGGATATTCATAGATAAGATTTTGTGTACATATATGTTTTCATTTCTCTTGGATATAGAATCTAGGATTGGAATTGCTGGGTCATACAGCACCTCTATATTTAAACTGTTAACAAACTGCCCGAATGTCTTCCAAAGAGGCTGCACTATTTTGCATTGCAACCAGCAGTGTATGAGGATTCCAGTTTCTCTATATTGTCCCCAACATTTGTTAATATCTGTCTTTTTACTAGCTTGGTATGAAGTACTATCTCAGTGTTTTGACTTTCATTTCTCTGATGGCTAATAATGGTGACTGTCTTTTCTTGTACACATTGGCCATTTGCATATCTTATTTACAGAAATATCTAATCAAATCTGTTGCCCATTTTTTAATTGGGTTATTTCTTTGGTCACTGATGCTTTTGGTGTTATATCTAAGAAGGCTTTGCTTAATCAAAGGTCATGCAGATTTACACCTATGTCTTCTAAGAATTTTATAGTTTCAGCAATTACATTTAGATCTGTGATCCAGTTTTATTAATTTTTTGTACATAAGTAAGGGAACAATTTCATTCTTTTGTATGTGGATATCCAGTTTTCCCAGCATCATTTGTTGAAAGGACTATTCCTTCTCCATTGAATTTTCTTGGCACCAGTGTCAAAATCAATGTGAAGATTTCTTCCTTAACTCTCAATTCTGAATTCTTATTGATCCATTATGTCTATTCTTATGCCAGTGCCACAGCCTTGATTACTGTAGCTTTGTAGCAAATCTTGCAGTTGGGGAGTATAAATCCTTTTTTTCAAGGATTGGAATTGCTGGGTCATACAGCACCTCTATATTTAAAGTTTTCACTTTATTTCTCTTTTCAACATTGCTTCAGCTATTCTGGAAAACCACACTCCTCCTCCCTGTATCTCCTCTACTCTCAACATTTCTCTGCAATACTACTTCACTTCTAATACCAAATATATAGATTTTCCAAACATAGAGTAGTTTTGTGACACCAGCTAGGTATCCTATAACTTAACTCAATTCTGAAGCTATTGATGTGGAAATAGCATCAAATCTCACAGGATAAGGGCTTAGTCCTACAACACTGCTACCCACCACCACCACTTCAGATGCCAGTGCAGGTCCGATGCTCGTGCTTCTGACTGACAAGCTATAAATCAGAGGTTCCCATGATCACCCCCTTATGTTTGATTAATTTGTTAGAGCAGATCACAGAACTCGCAAAGAAACATTTACTTATATTGAAACTGTTATTATAAAAGGCATTATAGAGGATGCAGATGAAAAGCCTGATGGAGAGGTACACAGGCGAAGTGGAAGGAGTCCAGTGCAAGAGCTTCTCTTCCCATGGAACTGGGTTGTGTCACCCTCCCACCATGTGAATAAAATTAATCAACCTAGAACTCATCAAATCTTGCTCAAGTTTTAATAGAGCTTAATCTCCAACTCCCTCCCTCCCCTTTGCCTTCCCAAATGTCAGTGAGCGGGGCTGTAAATTCCAGTCCTCTAAACATTTGGTCATTCTGGTGACAAATCTCAGCCTGAGGCTATCCAGGGACCCTCCCCTACATCACCTCATTACCATAAATTTAGGGGTCCTCAAAAGGGGCTTCTTATGAATGACAAAAGACACTCCCATCACTCAGAAAATTCCAAAGGTTTTAGGAGTTTTGTGCCAGAAATGGGGACAAAGACCAAATAAAATCCTTACCATATTCCTAGGTTTCTTGGAATTTCCAGATGAATTTCAGAATAAACTTGTTGATTTATGCAAAGACAACAGCTGATATTTTGATAGGGGATGTATTGAATGTATGGGGAATATTGTCATCCCAACAATATTTTTTTGATACATAACATGGAGTGCCTTCCATTTATTTAGGTCTTCTTTAATTTCCCTCAACAATTTTTTTGAGTTCAGAATATGTTTTTCACTTCTTTTCGTAAGGTTATTCCTAAGTATGTAATTTTTTAAAAATAAAAGTCACATTATCTAATAAGTCACATTGTTTTTTAAAAGCATTTTAACATCTCTGAAATTGAGATGTGTTTTCTAATCAAGGTATCTTAGCATTATGCCATAGTTTAACTGGCAGTAATATTTTTTAATCGTGGTGGACCTAAATGTGACTTCCAATCAACAGCTTCTTAGATTCCATACCATATGGTATTAAATGTGAAATGTCTATAAAGCATTAAAGTGGAGTGAAAAATAGGCATTTGGATACATAACTTAGGAATCACAAGAGAGGCTTGAACTAAAGATAGAAATGTGGGGTCCTCTGAAGTTCATTATTTAAAGCCGCAACAGTACATGAGATTCCTTTGGAGAAAGAGTGTAGAGAAAACAAAAGAATACAGATTGCAGTCCCAAGAAATCTCAAGCAAGAGTAGAAGAAGAAGAGCTAGCAATGCAAACATTTTTGTTTTGAGTTTATTGTTTTCATTATTGCTGTTATCACTTGTTACTGGATGTCAGGACCTGAGGGTCCAGCTCCTGGACTCTTTTGCTCTCTAAGGAACCCCTGAATGGAGCATTTTACTACACTTAGATATTAACCTACATGCACAATAAAGTGGAAAAAGTAATTCAGAATAATCTATACTTATTTGAGAAATAATGCATCGATTAACCACCAGCTCCTTCAGCCCTGAATACCTGACATGAATTCAAATAGATAAATAAGACTTTCAGGTCTTCAAAGAAGCACTTATAATCTGATTGTGATTTGGGGTAGAAAATAGGCACATGTTTATTGGCTATTAACCCATAGTAATTGTATAAAGGCAAAAGAAGAAAAACAGGCAGTGGAATTACTGTAGCATTCACAATTAAAACCAAAAATGTGTATAAAAATCCTTCTACGGAGTTCCTATCCCATTTACTGCCACATTTCTATAACTTAAGTAGGACACCAACTGGTTGTAATGCCAATTCATCCTCTTTTCATTTATTGTTTGTCACTTCACAGCTGTTGAATCTTAACCATTCCTTCTTACATTTTTTTCCTTTGTATTTCAAATGCCCTAAACATCATACAAAGTTACCATGAAAGCATATCCTCTAAGCAGTAGTTCTCAACCAGGTGAGATTTTGACCCCTAGAAGACATTTAGCAAAATCTGTAGACATTTTGCTACATCTGAAGCTGGGGTGATACTGATATCAACAGGGGCAAGGACAGGGATGTTGCTAAGCATACTATAATTCCCAGGACAGCCCCCCATATCAAGGAAGTATTCAGCCCACATGTCAAGAGTGCCAAGGTGGAGAAACTCTACCAACAGGGACAAGTTTATATGTATATGAACTTTCTGAGGGCAAAGTCCATAGTTTTTATGAAATTCTCAAAGGTGGTTAACTCAAAAATTTAAGAAACACTGGTTTTAATGGCTCTTTCATCTAGGCCATGGGAACAAGTGATTTATTAATCCTATTGCATAACAGAAATCACCTCTCTAGTTCAGAAGACTTACCTGACAACCAGATCTCTCTGTCTCTTTCTGCTGTCCAGTCCTCCAAGTACCTTATCCCCCTCTTATTAGCCAGGCTAACACAATTATTATAGTTATGATGACTATTACTGATTAAGCTATAACTTTATGACAATAAAAGTTTTCTTTAGCCCCACCCAATTCATTGGGTCAATATCCATTTATTCAAAGTATATTAATGTTTAACACATTGTTAGGTACTGGGCAGATGGTGCCCAATTAAAATTAGCTTACAACTGAGAACTGGAGAGCTATTAATAAAATCTAAACATGTAATTTAAGGCTGCAGCACGGGAAGGAGGGTGTGGAAAGTGAAGATGAGAAGACCTGAAATGAGGATGAAAAGACTGAACAACAAGATTATATTGTATACCACCGCGTAGCAATAAGCAGGTAACTCCTTCCTGGCTATTTTAAACAATTCTGTGATGTCTATATCCCAGTCTCCTAACTTGAGATGTATTTATATTCCTCTAACATTTCTGGGCATTGGCAGGCAAATTTGGGAAAGGAGGCCATGGGCAAGGTGAGAACATCAAATACAAAGGCATCCCTTTTGTTTTTACTAAAACATCTATTAGGAACCAGTATCTATGTGTGTTAGGGGAGGGAGATGAGGGGGTGAAGGGTGGCCCGGAGATGTATAAAAAAGCCAATGCCTAAAAAGTCTTTTACAGATAACCAGCTTATAAAATATTTGTTATGATCGCTATCGCTCTCGATCAGACTGGACTTGATCAGACTGTCATGGCCTGTGAACCAGGAAACAAGTCAACTTAACCGTTTCCCCAAATACTAGCAACTCAGTTTATTGGTAGCAGTCAGCCTAAAAGGGTCAGGGAGGCCTCGCCAATAATTTTCAGTGAGTCAGGCTTGACTCTTCAACACATTAAAAACCTCAAATTGGTAGAATAACCGTCGTTTCCGTGGGAAAGAGGTAAAAGGATATTGATGAGAACAAAGGCTGCGTGCCCCTGTTCAGGGACACCCGGCCCGCCGGCCTCACTCGGGGCGGGAACGGCTGTGAGCCCAAGTGGCAGGCTCGTGGGTCAGTGACCCACGCCGCCGCGGCGCTGGCGCTCCTTGCTCGACCCCCGGCCATGGCCTCGGAGGGCGCCGGTGAGGCAGGAGGCGCGAGAGAAGGGACGTGGCGAGAAGCCGGGCCGGACCCCAGATGAGTGAGCGTGAGCAAGCGGGTGAGGAACAGAAAACTCGCTGCCAGGACCGAAATCTCGCTGCGTCCTCAGCCGACCGAAGCCGGCCAGGCAGAGCACGCAGGACCGGGAGGGGCGCCGAGGACACAGGGCGACGTCCCCTGCAGTTCCTGTCTAGCTGGGGCCGCCGTCTCCGCCAGGCCCCGCCCCCTCGCGCTTATGTAATAGGGGTGCGCGGCCATTGGCCCTCACGACCGGAAAGAGCGCAGGCGTGCTAGGGGCAGGGGGTGGAGAAGGCCGGAGCAGGAAGGCGAGTGGACGGGGTTGCGAGAAGCGGGCGGGCGCTGGGGCGACTGGGAGAGCTGTGCGGCGTGCGCGAGCACGAGGCGTAGTGGCCTCCCCCGAGGCTGAGGCGGCGGCGGGCGCGCGCGGCGGCAGCGGCGGCGGGTGCGACGCGCGGGCTGTTGTGTTGCGGCTCTCCCTTTTCCCTTCCTTGGCGGGTGGAGGAGGCCGAAGCGGTGTTGGGCGCTCTCCCCGTTCCTCTCCCTACGGCCACTTCCCCCGGCCCTCGCGCTGCGCGGCCTCTCCGACGCAAGACTGTCCCTGCCCCGGTGAGCGGCTGTGGGGGCGGCGCTGACGCCGCAGGACGCCCGGGAGCCGGGTGGGGGCCTGCCGATGGGGTCGACAGGGACCATGGGGGGGTCATCGCGGGTCGCGAGGTGTCGCCGGCCTCCTCCGCCTCCCTGGGGGCGGCGGGGCCGGTCCTGTCCTGGCGCGGGCCGCGGGAAGGAGAGGAAGCTCGGGCGCCTGCCAGGCTCTGCAGGTGGCCGGGTCGCTGGCCGGCCGCGGAAGCGGAGCAGAGCGGTAACCTTACGCTGGGCGACGGCAGCTGGTCGGTTTCCTCAGACTGGGGCTCCCTGCGGCCTGAGGGGCCAGGTTGGGCAGTCAAGGCCTCCAAGGGCCATGTCTCTGGGCCGGGGTCCGTGAGTGGCGGGTAGGTGGGGGCTGTGTGGCAGTAAGAGGAGGGGGCTTCCCCAAGGCGGGAGAGGCCGGTTGGAGTTGGGTTAGTGAAGTGCTGGGTGAAGTAGACCTGACTCCTGGTACTTTCATCCGCACCCCCTTTTCGAAAGGTTGTAGTAAAAGCTAGGGTCAGAATGTTGATCACTGCTTGGGCCTCTTCGTTTCGGATGATTATGAAGAATGATCCTACTTCCTAGATCCAAAATGTTTTATTCTCTTACTCGTTTGTTTTGGTTTTCAGAGGATTTGGGAGGCAGTGCTGCTTGTTGCCTCCTCTACGAGCTCCTTATTTTAGAGGAGCTTATTCATTCTATAACTTCCCCCTTCTCAGCCCCCTCGGAAAACCACTCTAAAAGAGAGTTATATTAAAAAACCAGCGTTTGGATATTTGTAAATGACTTCTTGCCCCTCAGTTTGTGTATTTAACCAAAGAGAAGTTATACTTAGGATTTTGTGGAAGATTCTATTGGCATCACCTAAGTTGAACTGTCCAAAAGCAGGTGGTTGGTTCGTTTGCATTTCTGCTTTCAGAAAGGAAATCAATGCAGTATATTGTTAGAAGTTAGGGGCCTACCCCATGCATTTAGACAGATTTCGATTTCCTTTACCTGGGGTTAAGTTTTCTGTTTTAAAAGTAAGAACAAGCGACTACAGTCTTCTATTTATTAAAACTTTTATGGCTTTTGTGTTACTCTTGTTAGATGACAGTGAAAACAGCTAAATCTTTTGTGTAATGTTTTAGAAGTCCTAAATGCAAAATACAGTGTGCATCTAATGACACTGATTTGTGCAGATTACTGCATGAAAATGTTATCAAAACAGTTAACTGCTATCAAAGAAACAGTTATCAAAGAAACTTGTGAAATTAGTGGCCTGCCATTTTATAAGTTTACAATGTAAAACAATTGAGGTCATCCACGAGATCATTGTATTAGCCTACATAGTATATACGTTATGTGGAAGAGTTTGTATGCATGAGAGGATTGAATTACTCTAACATAAGGTACAGATAGTAAGACATTGAGACATTGTTGTAAAACACTGGGATACAGAAAGATTCAATACCTGTCTACTATCATACAAATCATAAGTATCTAAATCTCCTGGGAACAGGTTTATACACTTGGCGTAACGTAACATTTGTACTTAAATATGCTTTTTAAAAAATGATTCCATTTAACTTGGAATTACGGATTTAATTTTTAAGGAGTTAGTTTTTAAAAACTAAAATGTAAGTTTAGTCTCCAAGGACTAAGACATCTGATATTTGCCATTTGGGGGAAATGGGGTTCTTATATTAGGCCAGCATATTAAACATTTTTGTAGATTGTTAAAATATTCAGCCAACTACCTCACAAAACATTAATCCTCTTCTATGCTTTACTTAACTTTCAGTTTAGTGTTAAATACTAGTGGGAACTTGTCCAGTCAGTGTATTTTTCAGTTTGCTTTATTTGTATTTTGGAGAAGCTCATATGTTTCTATGAAATGCTTTGACCTAGCTAGGGTTCCAGTCAGAAAAAGCCAGCACTGTTTTCTGGGTAAGGGTGATGTAGATTAGATCCATTGTATGTTCAGGTCCTGCAGTGATTTAAAAGTTTAAAATTTAATTGCAGTCCTAGTCAAAGCTATACATAGGAATTCTACCTAAGCCCCAGTTTTAATGTGTTTAAAAAACAGCTGAGGCTTATTATAGATCCTTTATGAAAAAATCTAACTTATGTTATCTAATAGAGACTTTAATGCAAAAATAAAGTAACTTTTTTTTTAGTAACCTAACTATTTTAACCTATATAGGTCATTTCACACCATCAGTAGTAAAGAATGGTATCTTTCATTTTATAAAAGTACCCTTACCTTTTTCACAAGGTTCATTCTCTCAACCGGAAACTAATTTAATCTTACTTAATAATTTGTCAAGAAATCATGCAAAGACATTTTTTTTTTTTTAAGAAAGATTTTGAATACAGATGTCCTTTAGAAGCGTTAGATGATAGCTATGTTCCTATTAAGGTTGTAAAAATCTCAAGTCATGACAATGAATACTGGAAAGGGAAAGTACCTTTGCAAAGAAATCAAACATGATTGGGGAAGGGGCCAAACTTTGGGTCCATATTTGAGATTACATATAGGGAAGTGCACAAATCTTAGGTGTGCAGTTCAATGTGTTTTTATAAGTGAACACACCTGTGTAACTATTACCCAGAACGAGATATAGAACACGTCAGCACCCCATGAATTCCCCCACCCCACCTGGTCACTACCTCCTAGATTAGTTTTCTCTCTTTGGAACAGAGTACAACTTACACATTGTATCTGGCTTCTTTCTTTTAACATGCTATAACCATGTTGTTACTTGTAACAACAGTTCCTTCTTTTTGAGTACTGCATCATATTCCACAGCATAAATATACCAGTTATGTATCCATCTTAACTGTTGGATTGTTTCCAGTTTTGAAAACATGTTCTGAACATTCTTGTACTGTCTTTTAGGTGTGTATACATTTGCATTTCTGTTGGATGTACACCAAAAGTGGAATTGTTAGGTTATAGAGCAGATTCTTACCAGTTTTCCACTTTACTTATCCTTTACTTATCCTTTACTAGCATTATATGTGAGAATTGAAAACCTAGCATTTTGATTGACAACTTTCTGTAAAACTTAAGTCTTCAATTCTGAGAGCATTACCATACTTAGATTACTTTGTATTAGAGTAAAAACCACTCTAATGCCTCAACTTCTGTTTTTAGATATGGCTCGTGGACAGCAGAAGATTCAGTCTCAGCAGAAAAATGCCAAAAAGCAAGCTGGACAAAAGAAGAAACAAGGACATGACCAAAAGGCTGCTGCCAAAGCTGCCTTAATATATACCTGCACTGTCTGTAGGGTAAGGGGAATTGGGAGACACAGCTTTCCCGCAGATAATTCTTTCATTAGTGATTGGTTTGTATAGTTTAAAATTTTGCAGCCATGGCGAAACAAATGCTTTACTTGAAATACTAGATTCAAGAGCTGGTTATTTTAGGAAACCGTCTTCATATATTCAACATATACTTTTTTTTGAATGACTCCTGTGGCCAAGCACAAATCTCTGGGTGTTAGAGGAGAGGAATGAACAAAACAAAGCCTCTTCTTAAGGACAAATAATACTACTTCAAACTTTGTAAGGAAGTCAGATCTACAGCTTTAGTTTAGAATTATGTTGGTACCAGTGAATGTATTTCTTGTTGTATAACTGACTTTTTTTCCTCACTAAATCTGTAATTAGGATGTCTTTGAAACTAGTGTGTTTTCCATTGGGTGCTTTTACTAGAATTAATGTGTTTTATTAGATTTGAGGAATAATCTAACAGCTAGTATTGAGTGCTTATGTGCTAGGCAGTGAACCAAGTGTTTACAAATAAGAGTCCCTTAATCCATACAACAGCTCTATGAGGTAAGGTACTTTATTTTATTCTTGTTTTATGGAAGAGTAAATTGAATCATGGGGATTAAATATCTCCTGCAGGGTCCCCCAGATATTATGTGGAAGAGCTGGGATTTGAACCCAGATAAGTCTGGCTCCAGAGTCTACCTTCTACCCCAGTGTACCACACTTCTGTCAAAGAAGTTTTTCTTAAATTCAAGCCAGTGTCTCTTTCTTGCTTAAGCTCAGTGTCTTGAAGTTTGAATAGAAGTGCCAAAGGAAAAATGCATAGTGAGTTTGGTTCAATACATACACATATGTGCATATATACATACATACGTACATATATGTGTGTTTCTTTTTTTTCAAAGCCCCATGTCTGGGTAAGATTGGTATAGATGGGAAAGGATCTTGCTAAGACATGATTCCTGGTCTAAAGATTATTATCTGTAGAAGTCATTACTAATGAAATAAAAGTTCCTGAATACATAAAAGTTCTTATTAAGAGTATATCTGTTACATTAAATATCTTGTTCATATTGAGCTTCGATATACTCAATAACGAAAGTAAGCAACTTCAGGTTCTGTTTGGAAAGAGGCAGGGCAAAAGTAAATTTCACTAAACTACTGATGAAATACTGTGACCTAAAAATACTAAAGTACTTCATATATTTAAAAACTCAAAACAACAAAACATTTATCTTGTGTTTTGTCTACTTGAATGTGATAAAGAGTAAATAGTTGAAGGTCCTTGCCTAGGGAAGTCAGTGTAGTAGGAACTAACTTGATTATTATGTAGGTTAATGAGAATTCAGATAACATTCTTAACAAGTACTGAGTTAATCTTGCCTGTTTGCTGTTAATTAAGCAAAATCATTCTGTGTGACCCACCCTTCTTTGATATTTGAAATGTGTGAATATATTAGAAATTTCTTTGTTTATAAGGTCCTTTTTCATATGCCAGCGACTAAGTTACAGGAACTTCCAAAATGTGTTGCTGGAATATTATTCAGCCATAAAAAGAAAATAAATCCTGCCATTTGCAACAATGTAGATGAGTCTGGAGTGTATTATGCTCAGTGAAATAAGCCAGGCAGAGAAAGACAAATACCATATGATTTCACTTATTTGTGAAATATAAAAAACAAAGCAAAACAAGGAACAAAACAGCATTAGCTCATAGACACTGAGAAGTGACTGGTGGTTACCAAGGGGGTTGGGGCTGGGTAGGGGGTGGACTTTTGAACCACTGTGATGTACATTTGATAAAATTTATTTAAAAAAGTGTTTTGCACTAATTGTCTTTCATGAGGAGGCTCATGGTTTTAAAAGTTAACGTTTTTATTTCATGAATAAGGTCTAACTCTTCTTTTTTGCACACATTTTTAAATTAGACACAAATGCCAGACCCTAAGACCTTTAAGCAGCACTTTGAGAGCAAGCATCCTAAGACTCCACTTCCTCCAGAATTGGCTGATGTTCAGGCATAAAGTTTACAGGTAATCGACGTTTTTTCTTTTGTTTGTTAATAATGTCAGGGTTGTATATGACAGCAAAATTGCTTCTGTAATTGTGGAATTCTACTTCTAGCTGAGACTTGATTGCTTCCCCCTTTTAAGTTAATGTTTAACTTTACAATTGCTAAAAGTCCCATTTTCTCAGACACTATATGCCTTTGAAACACCCTGTCTTTATTACTATAGCCAAAAATGGCAGAATAAGGGAATGCTGGCCAACTCTGATCCAAGAACAGAAGAGATTATTAGCTTAAAGAAAATAACTATTACAAAGGTATTAGAGGGTCTTGCTCCCAGAGGTGATGCAGCCCAATATTTCCAAGCACCTTTTTGCAGGTATTTTACTTTCTGTGTTCAGCAGAGATTCGAAGTACATTAAAATACAGGGCAAAATACAGGCAGGCAGTGTATAAACTTGGCAGTTGCTTGCAAATAATCAGTTTACACTCTGTATGGTTGGGTTTTTTCCTCCTAAATGGTAGTGGTGGTGGTAGTAGCTGGAGTATGTGTGAGAATTATTCTTGCAAAATAAATTCATCAAAGATTTCTTGTTTATAAAATCCAGTTGATAAATCTATCACACTAATTCTTAGGCATTTTTTTCTTAGAGAGTTGAAATGCATATAATTTTCATTTGTGTAAGACCTACATTCACTGAAACTTTGCTTATGTTTTATAGGTGAATTCATGACACCTTTGACTTCTACTGTCTCAGAACTTAGGTAACAAACCTGCAGCTGCTTTTCTAACAAATTTTTTTCTTAGAGAGTTGAAATGCATATAATTTTCATTTGTGTAAGACCTACATTCACTGAAACTTTGCTTATGTTTTATAGGTGAATTCATGACACCTTTGACTTCTACTGTCTCAGAACTTAGGTAACAAACCTGCAGCTGCTTTTCTAACAAACTGTTGATCAGCAAAAATAGAGGGGCTACAGAAACACTCATTTTTATGCTGTTCCCTTTTGGGCTTCATGCAAAGACAATTCTGTGTAAATGTACAGTTGACCCTGATTTGGAAATCTGAAAATCAGTCCATCCTTGTTACAAAAAATTTTTTTACAATTGTAATTATATTGATGTTCATATTGTGTAAAATAACTCATTTAATAAAATAGTACTTTGATTTTACAACATCACAGGATAAATGGTTCTAGAAATTCTGTTTTACCTTTCCACATTATTTGCCTTACAAAAATCTAATAAATTCATCATCTAGAATTGCAAGTGCAATTCTTATCTCCCTTTCTCAGCTCAGTGGCAGTTTCATCAAACTAGAGCAGACTCATTCATTAAATTTCTGCACATAATTTTATTGGCATCTACTAATCTAAATGAAGACTTAACCTGATGCTTCAGTCTTGCAGTCATGGGTCATTTCTCCCTCTGATTTGTTTCTTGTGTGTGAGGTTGGAATATTGCAACTTGCTGTACAACCTGGTTATAGTTGCCAGCCAGGTATACACTGTATATAACTGATAAATTCCTAACGCGGTTGAACTGTCAGTGAGCCCTTCTGAAAGATCAGGTTCTGAAGTACATGCCACAATGAAATAATCAGCAGTAAGCCTATCATTTAGTACAAAATACGATGGAACATAAGTGAACTGGTAAAGATCTATCTTTTATAAATTATACTGGATTCTTTGAAAATTCTTGAAGTTCTTTAATTTGAAATTGAAACTCAAAAATTTTGAGGGAGTTTTTGGATGTTATTAAAGATTTGACCAATTTTATGAATGGACTTTTGTGTTAACAGGAAGATTGGAATGACTTGTGGCTGGTTTAGTTCCCAAAACCTTCTCGTACGTTTCTTTTCAAAATGAGTAGTTGATTTTAGGAGTTTACTTTGTGCTGGTTCCTAAAATCAAAGACGGTGTACATTATGACTTCTGTCTGAGCCAGGATAATATCCACATTGTTTTGGCTCTAAGGATGAGATTGTGGGTTGGTTCAGATGGATGATAAGGATAAATCCTGCCCAGATAAGGAAACTACTTTTAGGGTTCTTCTGATTTGCTTTTGTCAGCTATTAACTTTATGAGTGAAACTGCTATAACTCAGTTAAAAAAATTTTAAGTTAATATAATAGGAAGAATGCTCAAATATTTACTAGTGATTGCTTAGAGCCACAAATCTGATCCTGTGGATTACAAAATGCATTCCCTCTTGCTGCTGTAACTTACCACTGCATTTTGTAGCCGTGCATATTCTGCCCACCTTGTTTGTCTTCACTATAAGTTCAAGATATTTCCAAGGAAAAGTTTCAGTGGTGATAGTTCTTAATGACTCCTTATATTCTTACTTTAAAGTAATCTTTTTTTTCATGTATTTAATTTCCTAAGTTTCAGATTTTATATCTGTTATTTCCAAATATGTTGGTTCCCAGAACATTAGAATTTGCCTAATTGCTTCTGGTGGGTGTTACAGAAGTTCTGGTTAAATTAAAGGTTTTTAAAAGTGCTTTGAGCATATGTATGTTTCTGTTTAGTAACAAATCATTCTACAACCATTCACAAGTTTTGGTTTAATATTTTTTTCATTTGTTTTACTGACTGTAATTCAGTATAAAATCTTTTTGTTCTTGTATTTAACCCTTTTTTATAAGCAGCTGAAGACACCATATTTAACTTTATATCTCAGTGATAAGGAAATAGCTGCATTTTTCTTGCATAGGATTAATTTTCATACTTCACATGAAGATTACAATCCCCTTTTTATTGTATTTGAGTTAAATCTGCTGTAAGGGGAAAATTACAATTCTTTTAAACATCTTCATGGTTTAGTTTGAAGATTCTTTAACAGATCACAGCAAAGTTCATTATAAAACTGTTATGGTGTCTTCAAAGACTTGATAAAATACACTGGGAGAGAACTGACCCGTTTGTTTTCTGTATTTCCATTAATGTTGCCAGAAGGAATGGGGTGAAGATTAAATTTGTTTCCATTCTACTTGGTATGGATCTACATCCCCATGTTTAACTGACACACTGGGTGCTCAGTTGTGTGCTGTAATGTCTTATTAAAGAAGATATTAAAACTAAACTAGTCTAATTTCTTCTACATTTTAGGAAGTTTTTATATTGTAGCTTCAATTTTTTTTTTTCCATTTTTTACTTTAGAATTGTCTCCAGTGTAGAGCTCAGTAGTTCTAAGGGTGGCAAGAGGTTTCTTTCATTTCTCATTGTTTTCCCTGCAGTCTATTTTGGTTATATAAAATGCTTCTTAAGAATGAAAGGAAAGGTTGTCATTCTGAAACTTTGCTATAGAGATTAAGTATAAGTTGTCAGAAGGGGGTAGCAATTGGCTGTTAATATAAAAATAGGATTAAAATGAAAAATGCTTAGATGAGTTAATTGAATTGAATGGGTAATCCTGAATGACATTGATGCAGATTTGGATAATACTTTTGATTACCTAAGATACTATATAGCATGAATGAGATAGAATTTACCAACATTGCTATTTTACCTCAAACTTTTTTTTTCATTTTTACTAATATGTAGAATATACATACCATACCTGTTTAGAAAATAGTTAGTGTAAAGGCCTTTTTCTGTAATTCAGTCATACTCCAAGCTATAATTGCAATATCATATTTAAACCTCTAAATCTGAATTAATTCCCTTGTGCCAGATTTTTCATTTTGTGAGGAGTTTGTGTTTGGTTTTGGTCAGAGATACATACATTTTAGAGAGTTTAGTTAGCAATGACAGTCAACACTAAGGGGGTGTGTTTACTGTGACTTTACATTCTGAAGTTTTTTCAGAATGTAGCCAAATTTTATAAAAGTTACAGAAAAATCTTAAGTACTTCCAATATGTAGATTTAATAAAACATCTATTTACTTGACTGAGAAAATAGATGTTTTATTAGAGTTCAACCTGTCATCATTAATTGTGGATTGCCACATTAAATTGAAAAGTAAATGGCTTCTATTTTAAATTATATTTAGATAAGCTGTTACTGAGTTAGCATCTTTTTGGAGTTTTTTGGTTTTGTTTTTGAACAGCGATTCTTTATCTCCAATTTATCATACATAGTGTGACTCCAACATAAAAATCAGAGACAGGCCTTCAGTCATTTATTTATATTCATATGGGCATATCGACAGTGCAAAGTAGTTGAGTTTTGAAATCATATTACTTTCTAATCATTTTCTGTGTGTACAGCATCATTGTTGCTGATATAATTAATGATATCATCAGTGATGATAGTGATGTAATTAATGGCTTAGGTTTTTGTAGACCAAATATGTACTTCACTCTGTCACTACCTTCTGTCTTGTGAAATTCAGAATATGACTGCATCTTGGGTTCTGTTAAATTAAAATTTTAATTAGTAGGAAGTAGGCCATCGTATTTCCTTTATAATAATGTGTGTATCAGTACTTCTCAAAATGAGGATGACCATACACCCTGGTTTCCCAAAGATAGTCTTGGTTTAAAGATTAATTTGATATTAAATATTAAATATCAAATTAATATTAGGAATTAAGTCTCATAAATCTTAATAATGCCTCTGTTTTCACAGATGTATCAACCAGTTTATAGGTCACTTACATCAAACAGATGAAGTGCTTTTTTTTAATGTAGATTTTTTTTCTTTATAATACCAAGAAATTCTTGCTCATTAAATGGGAACATGTGATATTGACAAGGTAAAGACCTTGAATCTATTTTTAAGTTTTTTTTACTCCTACTGGGACTTAAATCTGATAAAATGAATTAGATCCCAAACCCTTGAAATGCCTTTATTCGCAGACATTCATATAAAGTTTATATTGTTTCTACTAAGTTGTTCAGGCTTTGTTTCCTAATCATCTTTTCACCCAAAGGGTGTATGGAAGATGGCCAGTTGGGATTAGCGGTACTGCCTGTTTTATATAAAACACTTTTACTGAGGAAGGAAGGGAAATCTGCAGCATTGGCTGCAAATTAGACATCCTCTGGGCTGATTGCATTGAAAACTTAAGCAAATCGTTTGATTTTGATGCAGGATGCTTCTATTATTTAATCTGATCTCTGAAATTTTCTATTGTATAAACTCCATTTTGGAGTACTTTTAGACCTACAGAGGCACTATTGGTAGAATAAGAAAGATCTCCTATCCCCTTGCCCAATTTCAGTTTAATGTTACAATCCTAAGTTACTGTGGCATGTTTGTCAAAGCTAAGAAACCAGCATTAGTATGTTATCGCTAACTCCAGTTAGTCTACTAGTGTCCTCTTTCTGTTGCAGGAGCCAATCCAGAATACTACTTTGCATTCAGTTGTCATTTCTCCTTGGCCTCTGTGGTCCATTGATTGTTTTTCATGAACTTTTTCCCCTTTTCATGAGCTTGACGGTTTGGAGTATACAGCATTATATTGCAGAAGGCCCCTCGGTTTGGATTCATCTGATGTTTTTCTCATGACTGCATTAGAGGAAAAGGTTTTTGGAAGGAAGACCACTGATGGAAGTGCCCTTCACATCATCTTGGGAGTGAATGATTCCCACATGACATCACTGGAGATGTTAGCTTCCCCTCACGTGGTTAAGGTGCCATCTGCCAGATTTCTCCATTGGAAAGTTACTATTTTCTCCTTTCCATGTGTTACTTTTTTTCCCATGTAAATCCAGTCTTTACTCAAGGGGACTGGGTATTTAGCTCTATCTCCTAGAGGGAACAATATCTATGTATATTATTTAAAATTCTTCTATGAAGAAGATTTGTTTTTTGTCTCTATTTATTCAGTAATTTATTTATATCCATAGGGACTCATAATCCAATAGTATGTGATTTATTTTGTTACTCAGATTATTCCAGCTTTGGCCATGGGAGTTCTTTCAGATCGGCACCTGTTTTTTGTTTACTTGTTTTTTCTCTTGACATGCCCTGTCCTTTTTTGAGTATTTCCTTTTAGTACTGCAAGAAGCTCCATGCTCCTCTTGTAGTTTCCCTATTTCAGCCCTGCAATGAGCCATTTCTCCAAAGAGCCTTGATTTATTTTATTTGGAAAATAGCATTTAGAAACATCTGAGCATTGGGTTTGAGATTTGTCTTTAATTATTAAATGGTAGACTTTTTTCCACCGTTAGCTAGCACTATTTGAGAGTTATAAAGAAGAAAAATATCCTTATCCCAGATCTTTAGAGAATGAGCTCTCTGACTGAGTTTTCTGCACATCATAACCAAGGCATTCTCTTTTTTTGTTGTTTTATGTCATTTAAAGTTTTTAAATTTTTTTCTTTTTGAAGCATTCTTTTTTAAGTCACCAATACATTTTTTGAGAATACTATATATGAAGTTGCTTTATAAGTTATAAGGCATTATAGAAAAGCAGTTTACTATTGTAAAAAAAATGTAATAAAGATCCCTAATCTTTAGAAGTTAGAATATATTTTAGGAGATAATGCATATATTTATTTTACATAATTTTAGACTGTATGGTTAAGTGTTTGGTGTGTTGCATAGACAAGGACTTGTACAGGAACATATAGGAAGGAGATGACTTAAAGGTTGGAGAGGTTAATCCGTGCCTGTAAGATGGGGAGTCAGCTGGGAGAGGAGTAGGAGTAAATAGGGGAATCAGCATGAGGGTGGCTGAGTGAGCAAAAGCTCCGGCAAGTACATAAAGTTTCTTTGAGAGAAAGTGAGTGGGCAGCCAGAGCATAAGGCTTGTGAATGAGAGCCTTTGAGCCCAGGGATGAGAGAGGGGAGTGATCATTAGAGTGGGACCAGATTGTGCAATGTGTGCCACCACAATAAATAATTCAAATTATTTCCAACACTTAGAGGGTTTGGAGCAGGGCAGTGACATGATGTTATAAAATTAATATTTATCAGTACAATTTTCTGTTGGTACTGTTTTAATAGCTTTTTACAACCTCAAACTTTCCTTGTTTTTTTAACAGAATACACTGTCCATAATTCAACTTTCGATTATTCAAGATCATTGTGAGTACAAATTTATAGGCAAGAATTTTGCTTTGCTATAATGTAGTGATTTTGCTAGGGCCCAAAGAACTGTATTTAGGTATATTTGCCTCTGTACTAAATGGTTGAACTTTACAAATTCACCAGGACAGAAACTTTATGGTGGTTATTTTCTTTTTTGCTCACATACACATGTGCATGTGCATACATGCAAATTATGTTTTAAGTTGATGCACATTTTTATTTTTATGTAGTTATTTTTTCACACATTATGTTTTTGTCCTTTGCCATTTCACTTAATATATATAACAAGTGGGTTTTTCTTTTTTTATGTTACAAACTTCATGCAACTGGAATTTTTGTGGCTGTATATAATGTGTCATGTAGATTTGCTTTGTGTTTTTTTTTTTTAAACAATTCTTGTTTTGGACATTTAGGTTTTCTCTGATTTATGCAGAAGACTTTATTTCCACATAGGGAATTAAGCATCATGCTAGGAATAAGTAATGAAATTCTGAAGGAAGGATGTATAATAATTTATTAAAATAGAACCAGAATTGCAGGGTAGATAGGATAGGGGAACAGGTTACATTTGACCAGTGTTTGAATGTTACCTTTCCTTTGTTTGAATACTAACTTTTTCATGGTAGCTTAAACCGGGTGTATTTTCTTTATTTCTACTGGAGTTTGAACATTTTAATTATATTTGTTAAACATTATTCCTATTTTGTAAATTGTTCATTGCCCACTTATGTGTTGGGGTCTTCTAAACTGTATTCAATTTGCAATTCATAGTAAACTAGGAAGAAGTGAAATTTACCAGGGGACATCAGATAATTTTAATTTTACACAGAATGAAATTGTAGGCTCCATCTGCCTCCTGGAAGTATTAATTAACTATCAGATAAACAAAGTGTAAAACCAGTTTACATTTAAGGCATGTTTTTAATTCAAGGCTAATGCAATTTGCTTTTGATGTATTAAATACCTACCTGTTCTGAATAAATAGTAAAAGTAATTTTTTTATGAAATCAGTTCAGCAAGTTACAGTAACACACTATCCTTTCATGTTTCTGGGTCTTATTTCCAATCTGCATTTTGTTAGATTCTGTTATTTCGAATTTCCA